AAAGAAACAACAAAGAATGATAAAATTAAATTTCACAATGAAACCGTTTCGACTTTATGCAACTAAATTCTGAAGTTCCTTTCAATACAATTGTGTTTTTTTTCAAGCTTAATATAGAACTATGTATGCAAGTTCCTTTTCTAACAGACTCAAAACTTGCAAATGGAGACAAAAGTAAATTACTTCATTAAAGCAACACAATTTCGGAAGATTTTCTTTTTAGAAAAGCATGCAAAATCAATGTTATATAATATATTAAAGTAATTTAAAAAAAAAAAATTAGGAAAGTGCTGCCGACTTATAAGGTGCTCCAATTAAAGAAACATCTTTATGTCGACATGCTGTCAACGTTTTTAAAAAGCGGCAACAGAACGTCAGACATCGCTGTCAGAACGTGGTGTATCATCTAATCCCTAACTGTCTAATTGTTTTCTCCAAGGCACACACAGTGCAATTAAGCAGGGAATTTTGATGATATCGATTCAACAGTAGACAATGGAGCTTTTTTTTTTCCATATCCCACAATGCATTATCAATCTCATTTACATGTTAATATTCTTATTATTCTTTTTTTTTCCCAGGGATCTTTGCTTCTAATTTCAAGTAAATCCCTAAATTTGATTTCCGTGCAGAGCTCTCTTTATTTCACGATTTTTTTCTTCTTCTTTTCCTTAAATGTTCAATTAACGAAGATCGAGTCTATCGTGTAATTTAGAAAAAGTATGTACATGTATACCAATCAAATTATCTCTTATATAAGTGATGTATACTAATAAACTTTTCAAAGGCACAATAGTAATGTATAGAATACAATAATTATAAGTTAGTAAATAATTAGAAGAGATAAAGACTAACTGCATAGATGAACTAGTTATAATGAATGGTCTCAGAAATGCTTAATTTGGGGCATCAGTGGTTGATAATTTAATGTCTTGCAGTTTACCTGCTTCTTTACAACATGGGTTCGAATCCCGTCGGGGCATTAGCTATTGAGCCAGCTTTCAGAAAGTCTCAGTTGTTCCACTCAAACTGAGATAATTCACATAGGAGCACCCAAGGTCTCCCTCCACATGAAAAGCTGGAATCTCACTAAAGAGTATATATTACTTTAAAGAGTTTTTTTTTAGACTACAAAGTAAATTAAGTATTATGATTCTTCCAAAGTTTAATGCATCATACATAATTCAACGTGTTTAAAAACAAAAACTGCATTGAAAATGTACATTACAGTAATAATGAATATAAGTTCAATGCAAGGCAACTTTCAAAGTTCCTTCAGAGCAAAGTTTGCTATGCAATGCATTATGATATATTTTCTATGTACCGCAAGTGTTTCATGTCTCATAATACCTTTGCAAAAAAAGGGAGGTAATAAAAATGTCTTGATGTAATTCCCAGACAGATTTACATTATGTTTTAAAATAAACGCTCTTCAATAATACTAAAGTACCGAAATTCTTAATCTCTCAAACTTCAGTAATTTATCTAAAACCTTGAGTTTCTAATCTTTAAAAAACAAAAGTTTGTATTTAAACAGCGTAATTTCGATGTGAATTTTAACAAGTCGCAGTCTGTGCTTAAAAATTGTGTAAGTTCATCACTGCTCTTGTACGCTGTTGTACATAATTACCCTATGCTGATTGTAAAAAAAGAAACTCTAATTATTTTGAATCTTGCGCTTTAATATAGAAATAAGTTGATGAAATTTAATTTTGAACATGACACATTTATGTTATTCTGCAAACATAAATTTCGAAAAATGAAACATGCTTAACTTGAATCTTGAACTAAAACATAGAAAATAATCTTGGAACTTTAGAAATGAAAACAAAAAACAATTGACTTCTTCACTTAGAAAACATATCAAATACGCTCATATTTTGTACATTTTCCTGCATCACAAACTATATCTTTAGACAATGACGGATTGACTTATTGCTGCGTTGTTTTTTTTAAATTTTTCGAAAATATAGATGAAAAAATAATTAATGACAGAATCCAACAAAGTTCTGCAAAACATTAATATATAAGAGCATGTCAAACGCTCCCTTTTTCCAGACAATTTATATTCATTTTTCATTTATTTTCAGTCTATGTCTTCAAATTTATTAGGTTTCGGCAATAAGTGACACGGATGAGTTTAGAGACAAAATAATTCATTAACTATGATTCATCTCCGCGCGCCCCCCTTTCGATGCAATTACATCAGTTTTGCCTCGAGAATATCATCTCAAGAATATAACATGTATGTTCCAATTAATCAAATTCCGCGTTCCTAAATGACAATAGCCAAACTCAAAGACGGGGAACGACTTGAAAATCAATATATCTGCAAAAACAGATAATCCCATTTTCTCGTATACTTACTGAACTTAAAACGACACGTCTTTATTGCAACATGTTCAGAAAACAATCAAATTACGATGGCACCATGGCCTCTTCTGTCATTCGTCTTAACACCAAAAACCTATATTTCTAAGTTTTTGCATATAAAACAGCAATACATCAAAATTACATTTACTTCAAAAAGCCATTAAAATACACAGCAATTCTTATAGTAAGTAATATCAGAGCTCCGGGTCCACTTGTTACATAAGTTTTCCTCCGCTATTGTCTAGTTGCCATGGCAACCAAAATATTCAGTACAGTAAGAAACATACAAATGGGTGATATTTAAACTGTTATAGATATATGATAGAAATCTTTTTCTTATGTTTGCATTAATCTATAAAGTAATTTCGATGGGGAAAGATTTACGGAGGCTTTATGATTGGGACTATAAAGATAACAAATGTAATACTTTATTTTTCTCAAAAATTAAAACAAAAACCTAAAAAATATATATATCTAAAAAAATGAAAAAAGTGCATGTAAAAAAAACTTGTTTAATTGATTAGAACCATTTTCCTAGTGTCTAGACAATAGCAACAGTAAGGGTAAGTTTTTGTTCATTTAGATAACTCTTAAGAGCATGTTGACAATTATGAAATTGAGTTACTCCCCTTTGACAAAAAAAACCAAAGAAAAAGGAAAAGAAATGCCAAGAATTTGACCAAAGATAAGCTAAAATAGTATGTCTACAGATAATATCTTTCATAAACAAGAACCGTTTTAAATAATAAGATAATGTGAAATAAAAAACTATAATAAGATAATGTGAAATAAAAAACTATAACGTTTTAGAAAATATCCTTTTACAAACAAAAAATTCAATTAAAAGTAAAATGAAAAGAACAACGCAAATATCTGTACAGAAAAATTTGTATATAACTTTATAATTAATCCTTAAAGATTTGACCTTAAGGAAAAACTCTCTTTTTCTTCTTTATTGACATCATAAAACATAATAAAGTAATTGCACCAATTAATATTTTCTATTTTTTACTATTTATGGACAACTAATGGCATGCATCTATATACATGTAATAAATGTTGTTTCTTTTTTTACTTTTTAATTAAACCAATATTCTTATTTATGGACATTTTAAAAACAACAAACCTAACTGGCTGAAACTTTATTTTTGCTTTCTGAATCTCACCATAATCCCATATACATGTATTTACGCATTTACCTTTTTAGTCTCATTAGCAATTTTACCCTTAAAATTAGTATGGAAATTTAAACAACTAATATATTCAAATGATCGACCATCCCTTCGAGCAGATACAAAATACTCAAAACTGGAATATATTTATAAAAACAAAGATGTTGTGATTTTATAACTGGTTAATTTCGATCATCAAGAATAAATTTTTACCTTCGGGTCAAAATCATTATCAGTAAGAGCATAGGTGTAATGATATCTTTTTATCGGCCCATTTTTACCTTGTCTAATGTTTATTACATCCAGAAGTCATGAACTCCCCGCACAAAGAAACCAACACAATAGCTGCTCTTTCCCATTTCTTAATGGTATTCAACTATTCGATACAAATTAAAATAGTTTTTTTCCTATATAAATGCACATTTCTTTTCATTATTCGTTGAAATTATTTTATCACTTTAACAGCTTAAAAGTCGGATGCTGGCACAGCTGTGAAAATGTGCATTTGTAAATTTCAATATTATGCATATTTTATTAAAGTGAGTTTTTGGGTACTTTTAACAGCAGAAAGAATATTATTCTGAAATCTTTGTTTTAGATAAACATGTATAATATGCTAAAAATGTAAATTTGCAAACAATACGGATATAAAAATAGCATAAAAATCGCATGAAAAAAAAATGAAGAGTTAAATATTTGCAGTGATACTGACTTGTCTATGCCACCGGTACTGAGCCAAATCCAGCCCGTACCTCTGATCTGATTAATATTGCCTCCCCTACTCTATATTAACATTTTGATATTGAGATCAATAAACTGTTCAAAATTAAGATTCCGGGCAAGTTCATTTTACAAATTCTGGTTAGAATGAAATAAAATACAAATGTATTAGGAACATACTTAAAGGAAGTCTTTTTGTTTTATAAAAAATTTTGTTGTAAACATATACATATAACATATGGCCCTAATGTTTTCTATATTGCATAGATTATTCTTTTTATCATACATAAAGTTAACAAATTAAATTTGATACATAAGCCAATTTGTTGCTTTTTTATGATAACATTCTCTTCATAATGACTTTTGATTTTTCTGACCGAGACATTTCTCTTAAAATAACTCCCAAACAAACAATATATCAATATACATTGTCAATAATAACATTTTGTTGTACCATTTCCGTTAAATTAATATGACTAAGTTGCATTGAACTTAAAATAACAAATAATATATCAAGTACTATCCAGGAGGCTTACAGAAGGTCGATAGTTCTTTTCCGGTACATGCTAAGGCACAAGCGCACATGAGATCTTCCTCCGACCTTGTCAATTTCCCAACCTTGTCAGAGTGACTTAAAATCTAACCAAAACAAAAAAGGAAAAAATCACATAATAAGTCAAGTAAACACATAACTATTTTGTCATGCTGACATCAAAAAACGATATAAAAACTTACTTGAGGTCATCGAAGATTCGTCATCAAACTTCACGGAAGCTTTGTCCTCTGTTTCTTTCACCATGAAGATGTCACCAATATCTATTTCTAACTGTCCAGTTTCTTTCATCTCAATCTGCTTCATACTTTCACTGTGTAAGTGTTGCACAGAATGTACGTGCTGCATCAGTCCGAGTTTCGATCGGGCGTTGAACTTGCACAAAGCACAGTGATAATATTTGTCGGGCTTTGAAAGCATGTTCTCCTGCTGTTGCAGATGGCAAAATAACTGAGCGCTGGCCTCATGACGTGGATTTCCTGTATGGATTTGAAGTTTGTGTATGCTATTTGTGTAATAGTCACATGCGTTACAACGGACTTGCACAGGATTGCTCACATTTAGATATTTCAGACGCCATTCATTGTTAGCCCCGCCTTCTTTTATGTGATTGACTAGCTGTAGCCGTTGTATATGTTTGTCTGTTTTACAGTGAAGCTGGAAGTTCGCCTTTAGTGTTGTTTTATACTGGCATAGATTACACATGTACGTCCCACCAGATACAGAAATATTGTCATTTTCATGTTGTTTGGTGCGATCCATCTGAAGATGCTGGTGTAGGGATTCTAATGAATCTGTTCCAAATATATTGCAGACGCAGCACTGGAACAGTCTATTTACATCCAGACTGTCACTTCCAAATCCTGGCTGTCCTGGACCTATCCCATTTTCCTTACTAAGGTCAACTGGTGCGTCACCTCCAAACCCTGCGGGAAGACCTCCCATCATTAAAGAACCGTCATAAGGAAACGTTATTCCGCCTGGAATTGGACCTGTCAGACCCAAGAAAGATGGGTCCTGTTGTAGCATTACTAATTGATTCATCTGATGAATTTGCATATCTCTCTGCATATGTTTCATGTTTTGCTGTAGTACCATCATATTATGCGTGTGTTTCTCACTAGTCATATGAATGCGTAGATTTCGTGCAACATTTGTTTCATAATTGCAAACGTCACATCGCCATGTCGGTTTAGGCTTTGCTTTCTTAATGCTATCATGTGAAGTGCCTGGATGTTGTTGACTTTGTTGTTGTTGTTGTTGCTGTTGTTGATGCTGCTGTTGTTGCTGCTGCATCAGCTGTTGATGGGGAGGTGTTTTTATTGGAGCATGAGCCTGTGACGTATGCGAGGGTGTGTGAGACTGAGGTAATGGGGGAGGAGCGTGGTTACTATTATTGTGTTTGTTAAACTGTTGCAAGTCTCCTCCGCTGTTAGCGAGATCCTGGACATTGTTCAAATGCTTGTCAGACTGCATGTGAATACTGAGATTGCCTTTTGTGGTAGTTGAGTAGTTACAAACCTCGCAGCGATACGGTTTGTAACCACACGAGTAACTCTCTCCTCGGGCAAGTCGGGGGTGAGTCTGATTTGTTAAACAGTACATACATTTTTGGTCACCTTCTGGATGTTTTTCTTTCATGTGGATTTCGAGTGTTTCCTGATATTTGTAGTGCCAGTTACACTTGGGACATTTTAGTGTTTTGCACGAGTTACGTGAATGCATCATTGTCATGTGACCACCTAGCGACTGAGAAGAGCTAAGAATCATATCGCAACTTGGACATTCAACTCCAGCAGCCCGTCCATTAGGGTGTTCCTCACAAACACCATAAAAACCCTGTCTTTGAGATGAAGTAAATGGTGGCAAGAATGATTTTGGCGATGGGGCAGAAAAATCATCTTGTATATACCTTTGGACTGAATTTACCGGAAAACTCGAAGAATTGGAGTTTGAATCTTCAGTATCCATTCTTATCTTTTTATTTTCAGACTCAATTCTATCACTTTTGTTTTCATAATTTAAAGTTTTTGTAGAAAGAGCATTTAACACTGCGGTACTAGCACTGTCCTTTTCAAAATGTCCTAACTGATTACGTATATCCTTTATTGACAAGTCTTTACTTTGTTTTTGATTAGATATCTGCGCATTGGATTCATTAAAAGAATCAGAGAGTTTTGGCCTTGTGTAAATGTAACTAACACTGGTCGTTTCTTTCAGAGAGCTCACTTTTCCAACTTTAGATTCTGCCAGTTCCGAAGTTGATGATTTTGTTCCCGCGTCTACACTGGATGATTTGATTGGTTCTAAAAATGACATGAGAGGATCTTTCCCTTTTCCAATACCTTGAATAATGGCGGATGAATTTTTACGAGACATGATTTCATTTTCCTCCTCTGTCAGATCCATTGAATGTTCATTTGTGGCATGAGTAGTGAAAGACTTAGCAAATCCAAATGAAAGTTTACATATAAAGCACATGAGAATTGGTTTCATAGGAACTGATGGAATTTGCGATGATTTCAAATTAAATGTCAATGAAGATGATGGTGAAGTTAGAGAATTAGCTGAGGTAGATGATTCTGGAGTTGATGATGGCGAACTGGAATTCATACGATCCTCCGAACTATCACCTGAGAGTGCAGATTTGTTTTTTCCTGATCTAAGATCATAAACTCTGTAGCTATGCATGATGGGGGTGGATTGAGATTTATGTGGCAGCATAAAAGGACTGCTCAAAAAAGAGTTTGGATTTCTTGGGACAAAAAATGCATTGTCAATCTGAGGGATTTCTTTGACCGAGGGCTCACTGCCATTTTTACCTTTCTTATCAATGATAGTGCCCTCTTTTTGAGGTATATCAATTAGAGAGTCAAGCTCACTGTCAGAATCACCTTCTATAATGTAAGCTGAACCATCTGGATTGTAAACAATCTTTCCGTCAAAACTTTCAACATCACTTAGTTCTTTACTTTCATTACGTGTACTTTCCATACCTTCAATACTTTTACTGCCAGCACATGTATGGTCCATGTATTCTTGAAGTGTCTGAAATTCATTGTCACAATTACCACACTCAACCAGATCTTCATTATCAGAAAATTCATCTTCAATTTCATCCAAATGATCATTTGTACTTATATCCGGGAATTTAATAATACTATCATTTACACCACTACTTTCGTTATGTTCAGAATGTGTGGATGTCTCACTACCGTCTTGTTTGTCATTTTTATCTGTACTATCAACTCCATTCTCTGACATTCTGTTAACAATTTTAGCACTGTTTGTGTCCTCTTGAAAATCAGAAAGCGGTGTTTTCAACTCCATCTTTTTCGTATCTTTTGGCGTGGAATGGTTGACAGATAATACTGAGTTTAAAGGTGTACTGTTGTATACAGATGCTAGTGTATTACTTGCGTTGAATGGAAAAGAGAACGGTTCCCTTGTATCATTGTTGTCTACAAACAGGGTCCGGCCCTTGGACAGGGAACCGTCTGCAGCAGTAAATGGACATGTAGACTCCAGGGCCATACTTACAGGCCCCTTAGTCCTTTATCTGTGCTTATTGTTTCTGGATGCTCTTGTAAAAGAGTTCCCTACCCATAATGCATTTCTGAATTCTTTGATTATGGAAACCTGAAAAGAGAACAAAAATTGATATTTATAATGCATTAAATAAACAAAACAAAAAAAAATATTTTTTTCATACAGTAAGAATTTTTCTTCCATCTGTTTCAGTTGTATATAGAAAAAACAACATTGTTTTGCATAACCTTACAATTAAAATTTACAATGATTCTTGATGACATTTAAAACAAAAATGTGTGCACAAATTATAATATCTGACTCAAAGTTAACAATCAATAAGCAAGAAATTTTGCCTTGCCCAAAGAGTGAACCAAGGAACCCTGCATTACAAATCCGATCCTCTTCCTACTGAGCTAAGTGGGCGGAGTAAATACAAATCTCATTAGGATTTTTATTTACGAAATCTACAGATATAAGTCAAATCTCCTGTTCAAAGTACCAACATATATAAAATACTAAAAACTTAAAACAGAAAGCTATTTTTAAGATTCTTATTACAAATTTATATATACAAGAAAATTGTTTCTGTAGATGATAAAAGAAAATGTAGTCAACTATTATAGCAACCCCAATTACAGCAAGTAATATTAATGTTCTTTAGTACATTTCTAAGAAGTGACATCAAAGACAGCTGAAAATTACGTATGATAGTTCAATATCATCTTTAAAGAGATTCTCTTTACAATTATTTCAATTACCATGATTTAAGAAGACTTGAATCAATTAGCAGACCGTAAGAAAGGCAAGAATCTCTAAGGTTACAGTATCATTCAATTCTATAATTCTTAGTTTCAATGGAAAATGCAGAAGTTTAATATTACACTTGGAACCTCGGTTAATTTTCTGGTGTAATTATGTCTTTTCAAGCAAACTTCTTTAATGTTATTAATTCAATCAATTATAAATGGTATGGTAAGGGGTTTTATAACATTACAGCAATCATATGGAAAGTTTTTGCAAAATAATTATACAATAATTTCCATCCATTTTCTTTATTTCAAATTTAATTTCAAATTAATGAAAGGTTTTGAGAAAAATTGTTATATGATAGTGGTTTTTCCCCCTTCCCCATTCTGCAAGTGTACAAGACAACATAAAATGACATTTAGGAGATCAAATTATATAGAACCTTTCTGATCAGCCTGATTTTCATCTTAACCCTTAATGTGCTGAATTACTTTTTAGAACTGGCCATTATCAATTTTGACAATATCAAGATGTTAATAACAAGCTAGAAAGCCAACAGTAAAGAGCTTGGTCAAACTGCAAGGACATGCATGCTGACCCTGCTCTATGCCGGTGGCAATTGCACCAGCTGGTAGAATTGTCAACATTATAGAAGTGAGATAGACTGTGTGACCTCAAATGGACCATGTGTGATTCAAACCAACAGTCATATAACCCTTATGGTAACAGAGGCCCCAATTAACAAGTTTGTATTATGCTCCAGAAATACTTTAATTTGTATCCCTAAAAAGCTTTTGTTTTTGGTGTCCTGTTAGTTTCCAAAAGGTTACTCAATGGCCAATCACCTGAACCATATTTTGTGTATGTTGCCTTCAGTTATAGTGTTTAGTATTTTGTATGGAAGTCAAAATGCTACTTTGTTTACATTTTGCTACTTTTACAATTAATAATGTCACATTCAACGCTACTTTCTTCAGGTTCTCTCGTAAGCATTTAACATGCTCTAAAACCATTATTTAAATATTTTAAAAATTATGTTTGTCCTTTTTAAAATGAGGAAAGAATTATTCATTTTTGACGCATAATGTGCCTTTAATGTAAACAAGTGCAAACTTAATTTTGGTACATTCACTTTTGTTTATTAACTCAATTCTGATATGTAACTTTGTTCTATCATCCTTTATTCATAATCTAAATTATTACTTTGTGTTACCAAATGGACACATTAATGTCGTTTTATTGCCAGTTTCTGCCATTCTTTTCCATTTCCAATCTATTGACCATATCCCTTTAATATTGCCTTTTTCTTAACCATTGCCCTCATATCTCTCATATCAAAGTTAGAATTTTTCAGGTATCTAATAAATCAATTTGTTAATCATTTCTAAATTTCATGAAAATATTTAATCCAAAATACAATTTTCCATGGTCTTTCTTTTTGAAAGACACACAGTGTCATGTATTATGTGGTTGGCATTTTTTAATGCACTACAGCATCAATTAAAGGTACAAATCTATGAACGTTTAATGTGTTTTTTTTCAGTAAGTTTAACACTTACAAAATGCTAAGATGTACTTTAAAGTACAGTCAAAGTATATCTGCCTTTTTCTCTGAAATCCTAGAGTACTTAAATAAATTAAAAAAAGATACAAACAACTTACACTGTCTTGCATATAATAAATTAAATCCCCCTAAAACATATATCACAAATCACTCAGTGAATCTGGTGTCACACACATAAAATAATTAAAAGTTGGTTTTAATACGAAACTTGGAGTGGCCTCACTGAAGTGAAAATAGACAATTAAATGACAAAACCATCCGAAATTTTCTTCTCAGATATCACAAAGATTAATTCAGATAAATGGAAAATAGCACCCTGGGGCCAAAATTAACAGGTAGAGAGATCTTAGTTATTTCACACTAAACAATACCCCTTTACCTGGGTTACATTTGTATAACAAACAAAATTTTATCACAAATTAAACAGTCCAGCTCTCTGGGGTTGCATTGATGCGCCTGACGCATCATTTAATAGTGACCAACGTTCCTTTTTTTTTATATTCGTATTTCTGCCATTCAAGACTTTTTAACAGTTGGACAATTAAATGACCACTGTGATTTTCAAATGGTAATTAGTGGAAAGGAATTTGGTTGCCATGGCAACAATAATTTTTAGTGTGATTGAATTAGAAGTTTACATGATGTAATTAGGAGTGTTAGCTGTAATTGCCTGTTTAACAGGGTATGGTCAGTTTCTATACATAGCTGACCGAAGTAATTATCTCCGGACAATAGGACTGTATAGCACTTATTTTACACTTTGGAATTGGGTTTTGACAATTTGTCATGTACATGAAAAGGCCAGATCACACTTGCTCAAATGGGTGTAAATTCAACAACAATTACAAAACTTGTCAGAGAAAAGCAACAATTAACAGCAATATTCTGACATTGGCAATAAGCTGTGAACATTTATAAAACCTGCATGTATATGTATAGATCAATATAATCATACAATAATATAAAATTAAGACTATATGACTATTAATTCTAGTGGCTGAATGATTTCAGTGAAAGGAAGAATATTCACAACAGAAATTTTACAATGTCCACCCACCCCACCCCCATCCAAACATTAAACTCAATCTTATTTGTTCCCCAAGGAAGATTATCCTATTAACTGTTCACCATCTCCCCAATCCTCTCCCTTCTCTTCCCATCCAAAAAAAGAGTCAGAAAATTTTAATTTTTTGAAAGAACGAAGATATAGAATATTTATAAACAAGATGTAACATTATCTTTTAAAACAGAAGCCAGGAAAAACATTTAACTATTTTAATATGATAACATAACAACAACATGGTTTTATATGATAAACAAATTTATCCATAAACATTAGATAATTGTAGATAAAAACCCATTAAAAACTTATGAGTTTGGTTTAGTGCGAATTTATAAAAAAAATACCTAATTGTCTTTTACAAAAATGATCAATTAGTCAATATACATTAGTTAATTATGAGTAAAACTTATAATTCAATTTGAAATTTGGATTTTAAAAAAGTATGTTATAAAGAAATTGTACAATGTTCTTATTAAAGGGACAGGATTAACAATTTTTTGACATGATAAAACTAAATAAATATTTTTATTACATTTGTTGACAATTTTATTTATAGGTCTGAACATGTGTACAAAATTTCCTTCAGATCATTCCCTCATGCCTTTTTCTTGAATTATCATTTTTAATGTGCCAAATGGTCTAAAAATAAAATTGTTTAAATGCTTTTAACTCAAATTGACTAATTATCACAAAAGAAAAAAAAAAATTTCAATAAAATTCTCAGGATTTTTCTCGACGATAATTTGCATATTTTTCCTTTTTCGTGCCCTAATTAATATAAGTATTATATATTTTTATGCTTTTTGGCTTTTGGACCTGAGGGGAGTTCCATTAAAAGGAAATACTACTCCAATAAAAAAACAAAACCAACATGATTAAAAACAAATCATACTTTCAATCAATGTCACCTGTGCTAATTATTTTAATTAATTACATTAATTAACAAATACACATGATCACTTATAATTAACCTAAAAACAAGAAAAGCAGTAATTAAGGATTTCATAATTCAAGAATGTCGTAATTAATGGTTAATTAATTTTTTTTTGTCGGAAAAGTAAAAATAAAAAATTTACATTAAATTTATTCTATTAAGGTTGAAGCATACCCATATTGAAAAAATAAGTTTAAATATTATTCCAGTCACAGTGTTCATCCATTATTCCTAATACTAAGCTATGAAACGGTCTTAAGATTTTCCCCAGGTTTGGAAAACTATTCCCGGTTTTATTTCTGTCATGCAAGCATAGTTTAATTCAGAGGGCTCAGAAATACAGATCTACCAAACACAAAGGTTAAAAAAAATTTGTTAATTTCATCTCATAATCAAATAAATCTTAATTCTTTATCTTTCGTGACCAATATTACATTATACTAGATTTTTCTTTTGACATTGTTTCTTTTTCTTGGTTCCATTGTCAATGAACTGCTGATTCTATAGCATTGTTATGCAGAGGGAAAAGAAGAAAAAACACCTGTGTATGTTTAATTTTACCTTTTATATCAGGATTTATATCCCTTGGACATTACGGCAATGTCTCGATGTAATACTCGCCTATTGTTCAACTGAACAATAAAACATTCAAATCTTTATAAAAAAGTTTCATTAGGTAAACTTTAAATCAACATTCATTTATAAAAATACAGAATTCATTAACCAATTATCAATTTCACCTTTTTTGTCAGTCATTTTAAAAACACAGATTTATGACTTCGTGCATTTGTTTCATTTTT